ATCTTGTCAGGTCCACAAACCACTGCTTTTGTACCCCTCAACAAGGAGTCCCTCACCACCATCACATGCCTCCTCTGAGGCTTAGCAGTGGCTGTTCCCTGTGGTGGTACTCTCAGGGTCCCCTGCACTATCCCTGAGGATTTTCCCTGCTGCTCTTCCTCTTCATCCTTGATAAGGGAGAGAGCTTCAAATCGATTTGGTAGCTGCAAGCTCCCAGAATGATCCCTGGTTTCCCTACTCCTGTGTGTGACATTCCTCTAGCAATCTATCTCCTCTGTGTGTGAAGTGACATCCTCCCCAAAAACTTCCTCTGTGTGGTCCCTCTCCAAGACCGTTTGTTCTGCTCTGTCCAGGAAAACCTTTTGCTCCCTAATATGCTGAAGTGTAGCTACCCAGGCCTCCAGTTGCTGGACTTTCTCTTTCAGGGGGGCTACCAATTTGCACTTGGTGCAGGTGAAATTCCACACATCTCTAGGCAAGAAGACAAACATCCCACAAGTGTTGCAGGTGACTACAGCAGCTCCTTTAGTGCCCATATTGAGAAATCTTAAGTAAGCAGTGAAACAGGACTGTGGGCTTCTCCCTCCAAAAGTCCCCTGTTAGGAAAGATCTAATTAGGGGAATTTATAATTATCTCAAAACATGTAAGACCCTTATAATTATCTCAAAACATGGGGCCTTAACAACACCCTGAAAGACCGGAGTACTATTGTGCATACCAGAGGACTAAGAGATTCCACAATGGATGACGCTGAGACAAGCTTCTTCAATTAAGGTCTAAATATTTATTGAAAGAGGAAAACTGCACACATACAAATATGACACATGCACTCACACTGCACACTTGGAAGTAAAGGAGGGAAAGTGGGAGTAGATGAGATGGGCCAAACTACAGGAGATACTCACTTCCAAAGGCTTCTCCGGGATCCGCTGTGGATGTGAATGATGATGGTGATGATGATGCATGGCTGCCAAAATGGTGAAAGGGATTGCCGAGGGAGCTATGATCAGAGCACAGACTGACATGGAGCCAAGATGCACTCTAAGGATAGCATGTGGATTCTAAAAATGTGGGGGTTTATATAGGAAATATCTAGCTTCTGGCTATAGACTTGATGGCTTGGTTGAAGCCTGGACAAAGGCGCTGATTGCCTGGGCTTTGTTAAGTCAAGGTGTGAGGATGACCTAAACAATGTACTTGGATCTTGACACAATCCAGGAGGGAGGCTAGAGAGAAAAGGGCATAGTTAAATCTAATCACTGCCCCATCAGGAGTAAAACTCAGGACAAACA